CGTCAGTGTCACGGCAACGAACTGGATCGCCTGAGGCCGGTCCATTGGCGCAGGGTATGGTCGTGGAGGCCGGAGTTCACTGGGATACGAGACGCTGCAGCAAACATGCAAGAACTGACTATAAAATTTCGAGCGATGTTCAGACTAGGGACCTACTCCTCGGGCCGTCCGCCGAGTCCCCATGAGGCAAAAACTTGCATAGCACACGAGACGCCCTCTCGGCCTACCCGGTAGGCGTGCTGTTTCCGAAGACTGCAGTTATTAGTACAAGTGGACCTGGGCATTGCCAGGGAGCACTGCTTTACATGTGATACAGAAATCACGCCCATAGGCCAAGGCCTCATGAATGCTGCGAGCTCGGTGGACTTCGCCTCGATAAGCAGCATTGCGCTGGCGCCATCTGCACCAGGGCGCGTTGTCACGCTCCACATGCCAGTGTGATCCTGCTTTGGTAGAGGTAATGAAGGAAATCGGATACCTCGGCAGGGCCGGTGGGGTGATGTGGACCTGGTTCCGGGCCCATTTGAAGATATCAGAGCCGCCCCGCCGGCTGAGCACACCGGCTCGGTCGATAGCCCGCAAGCCCTCCAGTCGCGAATATGATTCCTCGAAGGAGCACCGCCGGATCCATGCAAGTAGCAAACCAGCCAGCACAGGAGCCCTGTGCACCCCCGCCATGCAATGAACCAGAACGGAGTAGCCTGAATACAGGGTTGCCAGAAAGATAGGCAGCACCAACTTCAACTGGCGGTCACGTAGGGCTCCTTGATGACCAACAGGAACATTGACTTGGTAGACCTGGCGAGCACTGACCCCTCCCCGACAGTCGGCGGCAATCTTGTCCATAGCGCTGAGGCTCATGCCGATGTGGTGGGCCTCCAACCAGGCCCGGTCCGTGGGCAGACCGCCCAAGTAGATAGAACCATTGCCCGCTTCGCCCAGGAAGATGAGCGTGGGAGGCTCTGGGGCACCGCTGTGCCCGGGCCGGCGCCAGCGTTCCCGGGCCGCTGCATCAAAAGCCGCATCATTCGCCTCCTGCAGGTGCTGAGGCCGCTCTGGCGACGGTTGCAGCACTGAGGGCATGGCCTTGACTTTGGGGGTCGAAGGTGGCGTGCTCGAAGGAACTGCCGCGGTTGAAGACGAAGATGCCCGAGGTGAAGCCGATGGCAAAGGTGGTGGTGCCGCAAAGATGGAATAGATGCCGAAGCTGATGAGGGCGAAACCACAGGCAGCACAGGTGGCACCTTCGGCGGAGGTGCTTTCGGTTGGGCACTACCGCCGGCAGCAGCCCTGGGTGGCGGCTCCACCCGTGCCCGCTTCGCCGGCCGCGAGGGACTGGTGAATGAAAATGTTGACACCGTGTTCCTCGGCCCCTGTGGGGGCTCAGGCACCGGGCCGGCAGCCACGGTTGAGGCCGGGCGCTTCCGCCGGAGCGCAGCAGTGAGGCGTTGACCAGTAGCTCGAATGATCTGGACCTGGGCCGGCAGCAAGGTCTTGACCACGGGCATGCCAGGGATGGAGTCCGTAGAAACTCGGCGGATCTGGGGGTCTGAAGCGAGGAGCTCGTCAGCCTCCTCCATGCAAGTGGACCATCGGGCCGAGGCATAGCCGGTAGGCAGTTCGTCCCACAAAGCCATGTTGAGGTCCTGGAAGAAGTGCAAGCCAGCCAAGCGTAACTGGTGTCCCAGGCGTTGTTTCCGCGAGTCATATCGCAGAGGGGTGGTAGCCGTAGACTTGGAGGACTGATCCACCCATTGTCCAAGAGCAAGTCGCTCTGTCTCTGATAGCCCCACATACCCTGCCAAAGTCGGAAGCACGCGACGGAACGAGTAGGACAAGAGGCTGGTAACGTCCATGGCTGCACTCAGGTAGGGCCGCAGGATCCGGACACATTGTGCTGTGCCCACCGGCTGGGCTGTAGCCGAGTCGAACCCCAACCAATGCCAGCGCCTGAAGCCGGCGCCTGTTCTGGGGCGCACTTTGTTCAAATGGGCACCTAGCACTTGTAGAAGGTCCAACGTGCCACAATACCTCGGAACGCTCCAGGCAAAGCCACCACGACTGCCAGTCTTACTTTTCGTGCACCACAACACGAGGATGCCCCCGTTACCGCCGACCAAGTAGCTCCGTTGCAAATGGGTGTACCTGACCACACCAAAACATAGGGCGTAGGCACAAAACACCATGGGCCAGTGAGGATTGTCAACGGTGGATTCCAAGGTGCCCAACAGGTGGATGACCATAGATGGCTCCAAAGTCGCCGCCTGCGCCTGCCCCTGACCGAGGCGAGATCCCAAACCAGCCCGAGGTTTCACCACTTCGGAGAGGTCAAATGGCAACTTGAGGTTGCGGACGATCCATCCTAGAGCGGTATATGCCCTTGTAGGGGACTTGTGCTCCCGAATGAAGGTGGCCAGGAGGTGTTTGTCCGGGATACCTCCACCTGCGGCCGCAATGACCCCTTGAAGCTCTTGCCACGTGTGCAATGCCCGCTTCACAGTGGCGGCCTCCGCCTTCTGGAGCACATGCGTGAGCTTGGCCTCGAAGTTGGCGGTGATCTCGGCCAAGCGAGCCGCCGGCGGGGGCTCTACTGCCAGAAGAATGGCCATCAACTGAGGCAGAAAGGTCAAGGCACCGCCGTCAGGGCCGCCCGACTGACGGCCCTGGGTGCTGGGCCTGACTGGCCCCGCAAACGATGGGGTAGGTCGTGGCCTCAACGGTGGCGATGTGGTAGGCCGCGGCGCTGATTGCGAAACTTGTTCACGACGAACGATGTCTCGCACCAGGGCTCCAGCGCCCAGCTCCGCTTCACGGCGCGCCTGGTCCCAGGCATCCGCCACCGCGCGGCCCTGCTTCAGCGCTTCCTCGTAGGTAACGAAGTAAAACGCTAAGTCGGAGGGCCTTTCGATACCATGGGCAGCGCACCACCGCTCCAGCTTCTGCTGTTCAGCAGAGCGGCGGATCTGCTCGTCGGCGCTTGCCATGGCGTCAGAACCGGGAAGAAAAAGTTTAGCTTGAGGTACCAGCAGCGACACTGCTCCTCAAGGGGCGTCTCCCCAGTTTGGCTTGAGCATTCAAACATTGGGAGACGTTGATTCGAAGCTTCCCAAATAATTCATCATCACCGACCCTGCCTACCTTAAATGATTGAATATGCTTATTGTTGGACAACATTTGCCATCTACCTCTCCAAATTGCATTCCTTTGCGCTTGGCTGACCACACGCACTATTTGAGCCATCTACGTCTCATATTTGCCCTGATTTGCGCGTGGCCTTGTGCATGTTGTTTGAGGCACGCACTATTCATTGCACATGTTCAGTGCCATCTATCCATTTTGGGAGTACCCTACTTTGAAGGAAGCGTTGTTTGGGTGACTTCTTCAGGCCACCAGCCCTGGCGTGTGTAAACAAGTTGCTTTCCTGACGCAGCTAAAGGCCTTCCAAGTCAGTGTTATCAAATTCAAATTCCTTCTCAAGAAAGCCAGATCTTAAATGGAGGTGTCACAGTCGCATGGAGCCGTCCAGTGCGCCAAACCGATGGAAACTCTCCAAAGAGAAGAGCAAAACAAAAAACACAACTCATCAATTTCTGAAAATTCAGGCGCTTAGATGTTGGACCCTTCGTTACAAACAAGAAACACATTGATCGAATTTACTCGACAAGTTTCTTAGGCTCAAGAACCGGAAGCAGCTGAAGGAACAAATCCTACTTGATTTGTTGCAGGCCGAGGGCAGCAGTGGAGCTACGATCTTGCTGAGGTCCAATCCGTCCAGCTTTGAGACTTTCGTCAAGCGCCAATGTCAAGACCACAGAGTTAAAGCACACAGCACAAAGGTTGCAACAGTTTAGTGCCATTTATGCTACATGCCCTTTGACCTTTTGTAAAAATATATTATATATATAATATCCTCTGTGGAATAACCGGTGGGGGTTGAGAACCCCATTTTATAGTGATAAATGACTGAACTAGGCTCTGGGAGCACAATGCCCCACTATAGAATCTAGCTTTCAACCCTGAAACATGATTGAACATTGCAAGGTTGACATTCATTTGATTAAAAAAATGGACAGAAAATGACACTCCAGAAAATGACACTCCAAAAACAAGATATGTCTACAGAGGTTGATATTCATTTTATAAGGACAGGGTTGGACACTCACAGGTAGATTTTTTTACTTTAGAAAGGTGGGCTGAATTTTGAACAAAAAATCATTTTATAGTGGGCCAATATTCAAAGGCTATTCCACAGGAAATGTGGGAATGCATGCACCAGATTGCACAAGAATGCGCCGGATATTTCGTGAAATCAGAATCAGAATCCAACCTACCTCACTGTAAAACATCCATCCACTCTAAAGTAAACTCTCAACCTTCTACTGTTCCAGGTTCTCTCTATAGAATCAAAACCATGTCCTCTATAAAATGTTCTCAATTGTCATGAATTCTCTATAAAATGAGGGTGATCAACCTAATGACCCATCAATATATGATGTTCTCACCTCAGAGATCCTCAGAGTGGATCTGTCTCAGGTAGGTTGACATTTGATTCTGGAAAAAACTCTCTATAAAATGCCAAGTCATTTTGGAGCTCGACCTCCCCCATTCTATAGGGGTTATTCGGCAGAGGATTATATAATATATAGAGAGAATTGAAATTAAGGACATCAGAAAACTATTCAGACATGCTGAGCCAGCAGCTTAATGTGACTGGCGGCCGGCAAGTGCCCCCAGTCCGAGCCAAAGAGACAACTATCAGCAACAAAGAAACACAATCACATGTATGATATGAGCTTTGATTCAAGAACACACACGCAGCATGGCAAGCTGTGCACACGCATTTGCATGGCAAGCTGCGCAAAGGCGCTTGCATGAAAGCCTACGGTAAATACCTGCGTCTTCAATGCTTGCATGCAACAGTTCGCGGAATGAGCGCGATGCTTCGCTGGCTGGTTGAGTCTTGTTGTACATAATTGTTCTCAGCTACAATATTTTCCGGCCTCAGCAGTCTGGCAAGGAACACCGAGGCTGTGGGCACGAGCTGTCAAGAAGCCTCTGTGAGCCAATCGGCCAGGAGCCACCCATTTCATTCCATGCTTGAAACGTTATGAATCGATAATTACAAAACCTATCGTTGCAGGCCATGTGAATGCTTCACTCCCTACTACCACAGTTGGATCTTAGACAGTTGGATGTGCTGCATCTTTCCAATTGTACATCATTGCCGAGAGAATGAAACAAATCCAAGTAGCCCCAGTATATTCCGCAGGGGGCTGCATCAAGCAAGTACTTCAGGACCCGGACTCCCTCGATGAAGCTTTCCGCTCGTTTTGCTGTGAGGAACTTTGATCCACGCCCAGCATTCAAGCCGCTCATAAAGCCCAGCAAGAACAGTATGTAGAAGCGCAAGGCCTCCACTCCATCCCTTTTGATGCTTTCTTGTAGCTGGCAAACATTGGCGGGTACATTTTCACCCTGCAACATCTGTGCCAAATTGAACATTGAATGCAACCTCAAGGCGCCCTTTGCGTAAGTTATGCCCACATCGCTCAGCCCTTTGACTGAGGGAACAACATTTTGGTACTCATCGATCAAAGCAAGCACCACATGTTCCGGGCTCCGCTCACTCAAAGCTATCTGACTAGACACAGCTTTTGATTTGCCCAGGGAGCGGATGGCCAAGAGAACTAGAACTGCATGGATCTTCTCCTGTACTGGCCGAACTGCATGTTGCAAGCCGCAGCAGCTATATGGGGCACGCTGTCAACACATGAAATATCATGAAACCTAGTTCTACAGTATATACAGTAACTGTTTCATGCTTGTATACACCTCGGCTCGCAGCGTGACCTTTGACAACAACTCTGCCGAGACACATTCGTTGGCTGGAGCCACTTGACTATATGCTGAAGTATCTGCCATTGCTTCTCCAACAGCTTCGCTGCAGGCGGTTGTGGCATGGTGAAAATGTCGTAGCGGTTGTGGATCAATGCAAGGGTGCCTTGCAAGCAATAATTCATATACATTTATATTACAGTATATGTGCAAATACCCACACAATCCGACACACATGCTCATAAACCTCTCTCTAAACCCCTCAGTCTCTTTATATATTGTGTTCCTGTTTGCTCTTTTCGTGCTCTCAAATCCCAAAAACTCTCTCTCTCTCTCTCCCTGTCTCTCTCGCTCCCATCTTCCATCCTGATGGTCAGTTTTACTGACTGTCAGCCGTGTACACCAAGCTGCACATGCATGATGACTCTGCACGATCCCGCTCAACTGGCTGCTCAAAAATAGCGTGTGGGCCATCAGTAGGATGTAACTCTGGAAGGCAGTTTTGCAGCTGCGATGGCAACGAATTGATATGCAAGTCTTGTTTCCAACCTTCCTCGATCATCCACTGTATATTGTGACACTCGCTACTGATCTCATGCTTGGCCTCGTCTGCAACTTCGTCAATCACTTGCAGCTCATGATCACCGAAGAAGGACCGGCTCGCCGTATTCGTCCGGAATGGGAATGCCTCCGGGGACTCCACGTTTGCAGCATTGATGTGACTGAGATCAATTTTGTCCAAACGCGTGTCCTGGTCAGGGCACACTGCCGTTGCGGTGTTTGACAGCAACAGGTTGCGTGTTCATCATGTCGGGGCAAACCAAACACATGATAACGGTTTATGTTTTGATTGAACTTCTGTCAAAGTGCCCCAATCCTGCTCTGGGTATAAATCTTGGTAGATTTGGGTTTTCTTGCAGGCACGCTCGGCGAGCACAGCTTGCTCATGGAAATCCGGTCTGCCGCCTGCCCTTGGATGCGTGGGAATACTGTACGTGCACAAACCCTGAAACAAACAAATCCATATATATATATATATCCACGAGGCAGCTGCCAATTGCGTGATGCAACAACAACACATCGTCTTCGAACACGCAACAACAGTGTTCTCCGGTGTAGCTGGACCAAAAAAAAGATCAAATAGGGCCAGGCTGCAAGCCCGGCCTCAGACTTATTTCAAGAAAACACCACAACGACCACATACAACAACAACAACAACAACAACAACAACAACAACAACAACAACATAAACATAAACATAAACATAAACATAAACATAAACATAAACATACAACAACAACAACAACAACAACAACAACCACCACCACCACCACCACCACGACGACGACGACGACGACGACGACGACGACGACGACGACGACGAC